ATGCTACACAGTGGTATTGGGGGTCGCAAAATGCCGATATATTATTAATAAACCCCAATGATGCGATCGAAATTAGGGATTTCGATTGATTCATTGGGGTGCACGGGCCACCCCACCCGCCTCCCCCCCCCCTCCCCCACTGGCTCCGGCAGTGCATAGTGCCCACTATAATTATTAGACCTCATGGCGACTGCCCTCCAACACACATACAATGCGCATTTCGGTACGAAAAAGATTGTTCCAAGAGCTTTTTTTGCTTCGAAAAGGGTTACCATTCCAAGGCGGTGAGTTAATTAGCTGGTCATGAAAAGCATTGTTCTGTCCCTTGAGTTGCATGAATACGGTCGTTTAGAAGTATTTGTCATTCGTTTTATTTACATCACGTAATTTTACGAATTAATTAATTGATGTCACACTAAACATTTATACGCATCTACGTCATGAATCTACACACTCGCATGAATATTATTTTTTGAGATATTTATTTTAATTTCAAAATCATAGCAATGAATTCACTGATGGCCACTAGCCATTTGATAAGCATCTATTAGCCAAACCTACACACTCGCATGTACACTATTGTTTCGGGATATTTATTTTAATTGCATAATCTTACCAATTGGGCACATGTTTCTTGAGCATGGTTCCGTATGCATATTGTCATTTTTAAGGACTTTTCTATCGTCGTGTATTGTCGCGCTACTACGAGGAGTTAGCCTGTTGTTCTATTGCTCAGTTTAACAACCTAACCATTGGGGTTTCATTTACGGATATATGAGTAGGATATAAGCTAGAGTACCGTTGTGGTAATTCCGATCATAAGTGTGTTCACATATTAGAGTTTTTTTTAATGTATATTTAAGTTTCTTAACACAGAAGAGTCTGAGTGGTTCCTTCCTAAGTTCATGCATCATTATCTTACTTATGAGAACTATATCTGTGGCGAGATCTGAATCCTGAGACCGGACATAATTACACTAAACCAGTAAATGTTTAAGCGAGAATCATAATCAGGAATTGTTTAGGCGAGAATCATTGCATTATCACGATTGACAATACACCCCTCGACAACAAAGCTAAGCATCACACACACCGTCACACATACACGATACGCCACTAGACGACGAAGCCGAGCATCACTTCACACACACATCAATCATTAATAACCATACACACAGAATACACCCCTAGACCACGAAGCCGAGCCAATAATAATAATACACGTAACCATACGCACACATATTAACCCTTATACAAACTAACACACACATTAATAATACTCCGATACAAGCACACACACACACATAGATGATGTACATACATTTTCACGTAATATTTTACACACATTTAACCACACATAAGATTGATCACATTACACTTACACTCAAAGAATTTGAACACACACGTTTGATTATTTTTTAATTTTGAATAATTTTCATAATTACATACATTGGGATAATTGTATACATTGACATAATTAAATACTTAACATTTTTCATTTAATTCTTTATTCATAATTGAGGTTTTTTGGGTTAGATCGCGTAAATATATGTGTTGCTAAAACCCGCCACCACCCGACACAGCCAACTCGTAAGGGTTGTCACGTAAACAGAACATGCCAATTCGTCACTAGAACAGCCACAGGTGTGTTGGAGAGCCAAGCCACAGCATTTACAATCTGAGTACGACGTTTCGCCAGTAATTACAACTAGCTTCATCAGGCGACAGCCAGATTTGTGAAGTCTTACTGTTTCGTTCCTTATATAGAGGCGTAGTTGTGTTGACCACCCTTCTGTGCTCTTGCACAATGTGGGGAGGGGGGGGGGGATTACTGAGGCAACGTACATTATGCATGTGCATTATGCGAGCCCTTTGAACTTGTCCTTCCTGTCTAGTGTTTATTAAAATAGTCCTACCAACGATAATCCCTATTGAAGTATGCTGCCCTTTGTAGGCATACATTTAAATAATGTATTACTTGTTGGTTCGCTTCTACGCAGCACTAAGACGGTAGCTATCCGAACGGTTAAAGTTAGTTTGATTTCTTTAAGTTTCGATAGATAATCTAATTCGTCTTGGCCAGTAGTAGCTAGTTTTGCACAAAACTTCAACATCAAAATGAATTGAGTGTCCTTGTTAGCACGCGTGTTCTGCTACTGCTGACAGTTGCATTTGGGAGAATTTAATATTTTTCTGATGTTCTTTTAGTCTTGTGCTGATCATTCGTCCTGTTTGCCAAACAACATTTACAACACGTGCAGTTAATCATGTGCACAGCTTCAGCAATACATCTTTTGTAACAGATATAAAATTCTGTATTTTATGTACCGTGCCAAATCTGACTCGGATGTTTTGTTTTTACAAACATCTGGCGAGTTTATCAGTTATCTGAGAAGTGAAATTAAACATGTTAAAGAAGCGCTGCAAATGAACGGTTACAATGGCTATTTGCGAAAAAGTAATAATACTGTACAGCCCATGGCCAATCCACTGCTGCATGAAGGCCTCCCCAGCATGGGGGTTGTTTAACCACATGCCACCACGGGTGCTCGGTGCGGGTCGGTAAAGGCAGCGGGCAACAAGCCCTGACATCGCTCGCCATTGTATATTGTTGTGGCCATGGCCAGGATTGAACTCATGTGCGCCCGGGTCGTAGAGCAGTGTGGTGCCTAGCCATCTTTGCCACTGCTTCTACACTCTTTGGCTGTTTACTTAATTACCCACATTCGTGAATAATGACTGATTCCATTCATAAAGTGCGCTCTTGCTACCGTGTGCACTTAGTCGTACAGTATACTCGGTATTAAACACGTGTCTGTGTGTATGGTGAGCTTCTTTCACACCGTACGTAGCCAACTGCTAATCAGAGGCGCGGGGCAAGGACAACAAACTAAACAGAAACATCTGGTCTAAAGAAATTCGTTTTCAATTTATCTTTAAAAGTGTATAGCTGCAGTGGCTTCCTAACATAGGAATGAAGAGCGTTCCCAGACATCCGCAGAAGCTCGTCTAAAAGTGCCGCATGATACAGTGACCGTCTTTGTTCAATGGTTAGCCAAAACTGCTGCAAGGAGGACCTCATTTTTCGTCATCGTTTATGCTCCTTGACGAGATCAGCTAGGTTTTGTGGTACATTTGTGGCAAGCACCTTGTGTGTAATGAGTGCGACATTCTAGTGTATTCGTTGGGCAACCGGAAGCCAATTCTGCTCAGCGAGCACTGGACGGACATGGCACAATCTTGCAAAGAATGTTTTTAATGCTGCAAATTGGTAATGCATTTACCAGATGTCTCGTCGGTGATGGAATAGTGATCTATTCTCAACCCTGCAAGGTGACCCCTGTAATAGTGAAGGCATTACACTTGATCTGCAGTTGCACTGTGCCAGTAGATGTATCATTAACTATGCAATGGTTTTTCAATTCGTTTCTATAAAAATGCAGGATTTGCCATGAAACAACTTTTATTGGATTTAAGGTACTAAGGTGTTGCTCTTGTGCAGTCTTCTGCAATAGTCATTGCGTCGAGATTAAGGCATGGCTCTCTCAATAGCTGTAGCGATGGAGTAGTGATCTTCCACATTTTAGGTTTGTTAAATCTAATGACTGATAAACAAGTGCATAATTAAATGACCCCTGAGTGTTGAACAATCAGTGAAAGTTGAACTGCAAAACTCTGGAGTGTTAATTTAATTAATGCAGTCCCACCATCATCCTGCACAGAAATCCTCTCATCAAGATACTCAGACATCGGGCTAAGAAAGTGTCAAATGGTGACAGTCGAGGAAGTGAAATTAACCATGTTAAAGAAGCTCTGCAATTGAACGGTTACAATGATACACAAATCAACAGGGCACTGAATGGCAAATCAAATCAAATAACATGCCCGTCGAATCTGACCAAGTAATTAAAACTATTAAAATACCGTACATTGCAGGAGTAATTGGTAAACTAGCCAGATGGTTGTAGAAAAAAAAGCATCTGAATCATATTTGGCATAGTACATATAATACATAAATTAATATCTTGTACGAAAGATGTATTACCGATGCTGTCAACAGAAGGTGTGTACCGGATTAATTGCACGTGTGGCAAATGCTATGTTGGACAAAAAGGACAAATGATCAGCACGAGAGTACAAGAACACCAAAAAAGTATTAAATTCTAGCGGGAAGTACCCGCCATTGCCCGGGCGAAAAAGGCAGTCACACACATGGACTTACACACAGACATCGACCCACACACATAGAAACACATCGACTTAGACGCACACACACACACATATGGTTAAACCCAGGGTGGATCGTTAGAAGGCCAGCCTAAATGTTTCCAATCGGCGAAGATGTTCCATTAGGTGGGTGCACGTTTCGCAAGCGTACAGAAGGTAGAGGATTACCGTGGCCGAGAAGACCTGGAGCTTCATGCGGAGCGAGAGACCAGGTAGCTTCCACACAGTGTAGCGCAGCTGATGAAAAGATAATGGCGCTCAACTGATTTGGAGTGAGAGCTCTGGTGTTAAACCGGAGCTGGTCATGAGCACACTGGCCAGGTATGGGAATATCTCCAATCTCTCCACAACTAGCGCATCAGAAATTGTGAGTTGTGGGGGTGTATTGTCCGATGGTACAAAATACCCAGCCAGGTGCTTAGATTTGATTTGGCTGATGGTAAGGCCCCACCTCTTAGTGCCAAGCTCCAGGTTCAGCAGCAGTGCCTCCAAGTCCTCCTCTGAGTGAGCAGGATTCACCAGAGCATCGGCATACATTACATGGTTGATCAATAGGGAGCCATCCCTTGACCGTACCCGGGTATCGATCAGCCTCCCATTGTATATGTACCATATGGTAATTCCTCCGGTACAGCCATTGAAGTCTTCACGAACTACGTGGTCAAAATATATGTTAAATAATGTGGGAGCCAGAGGACATCCCTGTCGCACCCCAAGGTGTAGAGGGAATGGCTCTGACTGACGGCCACGTAGTTTGACGCGGAACCACTCACCATCATGAAGGTCCTTAAAGATCTTGAGCAAAGGCTGAGGGACTCCGAAAGTATGAAGAACAACCCAGAGGCCAGGCCTACTGATGGTATCATAGGCCTTGACCAGGTCAATAAAGCACACACATTCACTCACACGCACACATGGACCTACAGACACGCGAAGAAATGGACTTACACGGACTCACATGGAGCCACGGACACAAACGACTAACACACATGTCCATGGACTGACACACACAGACATATCGACTTGCACACACAAACACATGGACTTGCACACACACACATATGGACTCACACACGCATAGACATCCACTTTAGATACACACACATGGAGTTACACACATCTATGGACGTAGACACATACAGCGACACAAACACACACATCGACTCACACACAGATATACGTGGACTCAAGAACAGATTGACGTAAACATACATATGTACTTACACACACACATATCAACTAAGACACACACACATGGACTTACACACACACACATAGACTGACACACACATTGCCCTACACACACATATACATATGAACTGTGTCACACAGACATCTACTTTAGATACACACACATGGATTAACACACACACAGCGACTGATACACACACAAATGGACTGACACGCACACTTGGACTGACACACAAACACTTGGACGTACACACACACATCAGCGTTGTCCAATCGTAAAAGACAGACACATACATGGACTTAAACACACGCATGGACCTAAACGCGCACACATATGGACTCAAACCCACACACATCGACTCGCACACACACACATCGACGTGCACAGCAATCCCCGATGATGGCACAGCTCTGAGTATCGCAGTACTCCGTATGAGTAAATAGCGTGACATGAGCAATGGAAACAATGGAAATGCATTGAAGAAATAAGCAGAAAGCAGTGTAAATTAAAGAGCAGCATTACGCACAGGTAAGTTGAGAAGCAGGCTACAGTTTAGATTATAGACTGCCAGTACGCCGACTCAATGACATAAGCATTGCTACAGTTGACATAAAAAGCTGCCAATTCAGGCAGCAGCTGAAAAAGCAGAATACAGTGGACATGAAAGGCTGGGAGTACACTGAGTGAGGTAAAGAAGCAGGCAACAGATTATAGACTGGCATACACTCATAATGGTCAAAAGGAATATTAGCAGTGTAGATAATAGAGTGGCAGTGCACTGACGTTAATTATTCAGCAGGCAGCAGAGCACATGACAGACTGGCAATACACCGTCGCAGCGTGATAAAAGCACAGCTAAAAAAGGGAATATTTATCAAGCTAATAATGAAAATTTTGTTTTGTGCACACAAACATCATTGTAATATCTGGCAACGTATTTGTTTCATAATAGTAAACAATGAACCCGAGTTCTTATCTGCACACAAACATAATTTTTGTAATTTGTGGCAACTTATAAGTTTCATAATAGTCAGCAATGAGCCAGAGTTCCTATGTGCACACAAAATTTTTTATTGTAATATCTGGCAACGTATTTGTTTAATAATAGTAAACAATGAACCTGAGTTCTTAGCGTAAGAAGCAAGGAAATTTGTACTTACCATAGGCTTGGTCAGGCCTAGGCCGGTGCGGAGCACCCATCCTGGCCTACATTGGCGAGGCAGGGGGGGTAACACGTTGGCAGGCTGGGCCACTACTCCCATACCCATCCCCCTGGGCGTGCAATAATAATGGTATTTAAGCACTATATTATTATATACGTACTCCGTTGTAGAAACTGGGGTTCTCCCTCGCTGGGGTCGCCCTCCATGGTTCAGTCGCCGGACATTGACTACCATCTCCCGGCCCCTCTCTCCCCCTTGAATCAGTACCGTCCAGGGGGAGATCTGTCGCCCCACCATCCAGGGTCCCCGCCAGTAAGTGGTTAACGTCCCCACCTGTCCGGCCCCGACGCGAGGGGTGTGCAAGCCACACCTTAGAGCCCGCCGAGTAGAAGGGGGGTTCCATTCGGGGTCGGGCGCTCCACTCCTGCCGCTGGTGTGCGGTCTCGCCTTGCGGGCAGGCCCGGACCCTAGCTTCTCGTAGGGTCTCCATCAGGTGGTCCATGGGGCAGCTCCCTTCCTCCCGTTGCGGCGGAGGGACACCGAACAGCAGATCTGTAGGCAGGTGAGACTTTCGACCAAACATCATTAGGAACGGGGTCTGTCCCGTAGATGTGTGTACCGCGGTGGCGTAGGCGAACAGAGCATAGCGAAGATGTTCGTCCCAGTCCTGTTGATTCGCGGCCGCCATGCATTTAAGCTTCCCGGCTAGGGTCTGGTTCATCCTCTCTACCATCCCATTTGCCTGGGGGTAATACGCCGTAGTTCAGTCCTTCTGGATTCCGAACTCCCGGCACAGCGCATGGAATAGCTCTGCCTCGATCTCACTACCTTGATCAGTAATGAGTCGCTCGGGGATCCCGTGCTTAAGTGCGTAGTGTTCAACGAACGCTCGGGCCACTACGAGGGCTGTCTTTTCGGGGATGGCCACCGCTACGGGATAGCGTGTGAAGTACTCCACAGCTACGAGAACATACCGGTTGCCCCGGTGGAATCGCGGAATGGTCCCTGCAGGTCGATCCCAACTAGCTGGTTCGTCCCGCTGACGTGGAACAGTCTCAGGGGTACCTGATAGCGCGCCGGTTTCGGCCGCATTGCTGACACGCGCGGCAGCCCTGCACCCAGGTGGCCACGTCTTGTGATAACTTGGGCCAGAGATACTGGTGACGCAGGGTTTCCCGAGTGCGATGCTCCCCGTCATGGCCCCCGAGCGGGTGGTCGTGTACCAGACTTAGCAGCTGTGGCCGCACCTGGGCGGGAACACAGATGCATCCCGGCTGGCCGGCTTCGGTTATTTCCCATACTACCCCGTTCTGCACGCACAACCAGGCATACAAACCACTCCAGGGTCCTGGTAGGGCGTCCTTCTTCTACCGTTGGGCCGTCTCCACCGCTGCCAGATCTGGATCCCGCAGCTGGGTCCATCTCAGCTGCTCGTCGTCCAGGCCCGGGAAGGCGCAGCCGACGTCCTCCTGGATCCGATCGGGTGGGGTTGGGCGACACGTCGGGCCCCAGGGTGTGGGCTCCATGCCCGTCGAGTTGTCCCCCGGGTCCCTGGTTCCCCCTGCTGGGGTCTCTGTTGCGCATACTGCACTGTCTCTCACCGGGGGGGGGGGGGGGGGGGGGCTAGACTCGTTGCGCTCCTGGGGACCCACCACCTGCCGGCAATGGCCCCCCGTGAAGCACGGGCAGACTTCCTCCACCCTTGTCTCGGCGCACACCGCGGGGCGCCTTGACAAGGCGTCCGCGTTTGCGTGCGTACGCCAGGCTCGGTACTCTATTTGCAGGTTGTACTCCAGCAGCTGCGCCAGCCATCGGGCCATCTGCCCCCGCGGTTCCTTGAATGTAAGGAGAAACTGCAGGGCATAATGGTCGGTGCGCACCTGACATTTCCAGCCATACAAATACGATCGGAACTGTTTACACGTGAAGATCACGGCATACAGTTCTTGACGGGTCACGCAATAATTCAGCTCAGCCCCACTCAGGGTCCGCCTGGCGTATGCGATGATCCACTCCGTCCCACCCTGTACCTGTGACAGCACCACGCCCAGCCCACTGCTGCAGGCGTCGGTGCCCAAGATAAAATCCGTGGTGAAATCGGGGAAATCTAGGGTGGGGGTGTGGGTGAGGTGGTCTTTGAGGGTGGTGAAGGCCGTTTTGCAGGCCTCCGTCCATCGATAGGGGTTCTTAGGGGAGGTGAGTTGGGTGAGGGGGCGTGCAGTCTCGCTGAATTCCTTTACAAATCGACGATAATAGGTGGCGAGTCCCAAGAATGACCTGATCTCCGTCAGATTCCTGGGCCATGGACATTCCACTACGGCGCACACCTTTTCCGGATCAGTGCGCACCCCCGCCTCGCTGACTCGGTGTCCGAGGTACTCTACCTCGCGCTGCGCAATGTAACACTTACGCGGCTTGAGCTTGAGATGGGCTGCTCGCAGTCGCTGGAACACCTTTCGCAACCTGGACCAGTGCTCGGACAGAGATCTGCTGAACACTATCACGTCGTCCAGGTAAATCATGCACTGTTCCCACTGTAAGCCCCGCATTACCAACTCGATCAACCGCTGGAACGTCGCGCGCGCGTTAGTGAGTCCAAACGTAAGCACTCGAAACTCGAACAGCCCCATCGGTGTAGTAAATGCGGTTTTCGGCCGATCCTCCTCCGCCATCTCCACCTGCCAGTACCCGGACGCCAGATCGAGGGTGGAAAAATACCGTGCTCCTGCGAGACTGTCAAAGGTGTCGTCGATGCGCGGTTTGGGGAATGCGTCGCCGAGGGTGACTGCGTTCAACTTTCGGTAATCAACGCAGAACCGAGTCGACCCGTCCTTTTTCATCACTAGCACCACCGGGGCAGACCAGGGGCTCGTCAAGGTCTGGATTACGTTATCACGTAGTAAATCCGCGACTGCCTCCTTGATCTGGGTCCGATCAGGCGCGCTCACCCGGTATGTGGGGAGTTTGATAGGTCGGGCTGCACCCGTGTCAATTGTGTGCTTAACAAAGTCTGTCCGACCTACATCCGAATCGTGCTCACTGATCACATCGGCGTACTCCTGTAACAACCCACGCAGCTGATCGGCCTCCCCCTTAGGTAGGTCCGCCCAAGGCACATGTAACGCGTCATGCAAAGGGATGATCTCGGCTCGGGGAGTCGGGCCGACCCGCCAGGCCAGATCCTGGTTGTCCTCGGGCCGGCCAGGCTCTTCCGCCCAGAGTGCGAACACCGAGTCGTTAGAGTGGCGCGCGTGCAGGGGGTGTATGGTGGCTACTGTGGTGCGCCGTCGTAGCATCGCCGGGGTACTGTGTGGGTTAAACACCCGCATGAACAGTCGGCCCCATCTGCGTTTACCAGCGTGGCTGACCCGACGACTCCGTACCGCGCTGCCAACTCCGGGTGAGGAGTTAGCATTACTTCGCCCGATGGTCGGTGTGTGGGGTCGGTGGAGGGTGTTGCAACTGGCACCAGCATCTCGGCGAGCGGCCCGATGGTGACGGCCGACACCAGCGTAGCGGCCACGGGTGTGAAGCGAGGGCGATTCGGCTCGGGTCCCAGGAACGGGATCCGCTCCCCGTTGCCCTCCACGGTGGCGCATCCCTGGCGGGGATGCACGTTGAGGCCCAGTTTCTCCAGGAGGTCCGTACCTGCAATACACTCTTGGCACAATACACTCGAGATTTAGAATTCCTGTGTGCACACCTGGTTTCCGAGACGGACCTCGAGGGAAATCCTTCCCAGCAACTCCATCCCGGCTGCGCTCGCTGTGTGCAGCGCGCGATACGGGGCCTGCAGGCGGCTCACGTCAACCCCGAGCACGCTGCAGTGCACGGCGCTCACGAGTGAGGCTACGGCTCTCGTGTCCAGTAGGATCCAGGTGCGCTGCCCGTTCACCTGTCCTTCCACCAGTGACGTGGCCCCCGTGATTCCCGCCACCAGCTCCCGCAGCCAGTCGCCCGTGCTCACCATGTCCCTGGGTGTTGTGGTCGGAATCTGCGTGGGGTCACTCGCTCACCATTATTAT